AGTAGAGACGGGGTTTCACCGTGTTAGCCAGGATGGTCTTGATCTCCTGACCTCGTGATCCACCCGTCTCAGCCTCCCAAAGTGCTGGGATTACAGGCTTGAGCCACCGCGCCCGGCCAGTTTTTGCCATTCCTTTTAATGGCAAAAATTGCAGTTACTTTTGCACCAAATCCCTAATATTATTTACATAGTTTATCTCTGTTATGGAACTTTTTATTGACAAGTAATGTAGAAACTCACCAGATGGATCTAAGTTACCCTGAATCTTATATTAGCAGAATCTGAATTGCTTATAAATAATTATGGCTATGTTGGAGGTAGAACCTATTATTTGATAGTTTATGAACAGTGCTAAGGTCTAATCTACCTTTTACAGAGAAGCTAAGAACATGCTACAGCTAGCTGAAAAGCAAAAACTTTAGGCATTCAAATAGTTTCGTCAGTGAAATGGCAGGACTCATTTGATGACTGATTATTATCAACTGATTTAAGTGACTGAGTTATTTTTGTACTGTGTACATCTATACTCTAAGAAGGAAATTGAACGTAATTCTGCTATGCTTGTTGCCACTATATTAATAACTGCTTCATCTAAAATAATTGATAGAGCTCAGATTTATCCTTTGTAATAATTCTAGTGCTTCTTTAAACATGTTTTGGGATTAGCAGCTGTCAACAGTTAGAACATGAAACAGATTCTGTTACAGGAGTAGAAGTTGATCCAGACATTTAATGTCTTTTTCACCTGTGAGAGAGAGAATAAAGAGAAAGAGAGATCATTATTTATGGGATTATATGAACTTCAAGTCCGTTTTCATTATTAGGAGAAGCTGTGCTTTAAAATGTAGTCAGGGACTTTAATTTCATGAAATGCCTGAGCTGTAAATAAAGTATTGCTTTATTTTTTATTTCTTGAACATTTGAAAAAAAATTAGCTATGAATTATGTTCACATTATATTAAAAAATTTGCTCTTAGCATTGTGCATATATATTATACAGAAAAACATAGAGTAAAAAGAATAGACTTCAGTTCCAGTTCAGAAAAGGTTTAAAATTTGAGTACTGATTTTGGAAACCCCAAACCTTAAGAGTTCAAGAAGCTTATGGTCTTCTTGAGGGACACCTATTCAAACTCTCGAATATGGTGATTGGGTAGCAAGTTCAGAAATGCCTGCTGATGCATGCGCTAAAACACCTTGGAGAAAAGAGGTGGTAGTTGCCTGAAGTAGGACTTAAGTACCAGTTGGAAATAGAAGACAAGGATGGGGACTGTTGGGAGATGACTCTCCATGGGTCCTTCCTGTTTCTACCACATCTTGTGAGCAGGGCATTGAGTGCCTGTGTTCCAAACTACCTTTTCCATCATGTTTCTACAGCAAACAGTCATGGAAGATAGAAATAGAGTCTTCTCTGCAGCAAAGGGCAGACATGCTTGCTTCCTGTACTTCCCACTGTAAAATATTCCGGCTCCCTAAACTCAGCTTCCTTTCCCGTAACCCACCATGATACAGATGTCACCTGACCTCTGGGAATTGGGTGTCAGGGAACCAACACAAATGCTGACGGTCTGGCTACTGTGACTGCTCCGAGTAATAAATTGTCCTTCGTCTCCAACCCAGGAATCTCATGTTTTCTACCAGCAGGCTAACTTGTGGCAGGCTAACATGTTAGTTTGCAAGTAAGGTAAAATCTCAGACCCTCTGCAGTTTGTGGCAGGGATTACATTCTGAGGAGAGAGGAACAGCATGCTCCATGGCTCAGAGGCATAAGAAATCACATTTTGTATGGGGAACCATAACTAGTTCTCTATCTTCAGAGCCAAAAGGTGCACCAAGGAGGTCATTTTAGGGGAGAATATAAAGTTGGAGATATAGACAGAGCCAGATTCCCGAGAATTGTATACGGGGAGTTATTAGAGAATTTTTAGCAGTGACATGAGAAATCTTGTGTTGATTAAGTTACTCCAGGAAATATGTGACGGGTGGATTGAAGGATGGGGCACCTTTTCTCTAGGAGAAAAAAGAAAGAGTGGATGGTGGAGTCAGAGGTAGCAATAGGATGAAGAAGGAATCTGAATGACCCCTTGGCCATTCAGTGAATAGTGATGCTATTCACCTAGATACAGCGTATAGGAGGGGAAAAAAATTCTGGGAAGGAGGGGGATGAGACGGAGTTAGCTTTAAAAATAACTAAATTGAGACCTAGGAGCCTATAGGCTATCCAGATAGAAATATTTAATGGCCTGTATGCATCTGGAACTCAGGAAGGAGGCTTCCGTGGGAGCAGATCACTTGGGCATCATTAGGGTGTATGTGGTAGATGCATTCTTGTGCAGCAGTCAAGGGGATGGCCTTTAGAGTCAAGTGCAAATTGCCCCCCATCCCCTGTGATAAGTGACTCAAGCTCTCCAGGCTTCAGTTTCCTAGTTCATAATAGTGGGCTCTAGTGGACAAGGCTGTTATGAAGGTTAAAGGAGACAACATACGCAAAGTGTGTGGTAGAAGTCACACACTGATCAGCAGCAGCAGGATGATCAGAATGTGGTGCTTGACACCAAAAGAGTAGGTGAGATTATCCAAAACAGCAGGTAGAATGAGGGGAGACGATGAAGTCAAACATAGGAAGAAAAAAAGCCTTTGAAGTATGTGAAAAGAAACAACCAGAAAGGTAAGATGAGAACCAGAAGAGTTTCAAGAAGGAAGGTGTGGCCAAGATTGAGAAATTCATCAGCACGAACGGCAGTCAGGGACTAAATAGCCCCCTTTAAATTGTACAACCTTGAGGACCTGGGCAACCTTAACAGAATTTCAGTGGATCCCTAGTGCAAACCAGGCCTTACAAACCAGGAATGGATGGTCAATAGGAAGTGGAGACAGTAAGTGTAGACCTTACCTTGGAGGGAAGGAAGAGAAAGAGCCATGGCCAAGGGAAGTTTGAAATCAAAAGAAATATCTTTTTTTTTTTTTTGATTGGAGAGACCTCAGTTATTCTTTTAAAATACTTATTGAGGCCGGGCGCGGTGGCTCAAGCCTGTAATCCCAGCACTTTGGGAGGCCGAGACGGGCGGATCACGAGGTCAGGAGATCGAGACCATCCTGGCTAACACGGTGAAACCCCGTCTCTACTAAAAATACAAGAAAATTAGCCGGGCGTGGTGGTGGGCGCCTGTAGTCCCAGCTACTCGGGAGGCTGAGGCAGGAGAATGGCGTGAACCCGGGGGGGCGGAGCTTGCAGTGAGCCGAGATCGCGCCACTGCACTCCAGCCTGGGGCACAGAGCAAGACTCCGTCTCAAAAAAAAAAAAAATAAAATAAAATAAAATAAAATAAAATAAAATAAAATAAAATACTTATTGAATCCCTTCTTTGAGTCAGGCACTATGGCAGACACAAGGGAGATAGCAGTGAATCAGACAGATGCAGTGCCTGCCTTGGTGGAGTGTCACCTTAGCATTTGTCCGTATGCTAGGGGAGTGAGGCAGACGCAGGGGAAGGGAGTGGATACAGGAGAGACTAAAGATCCAGGGAGCAAGTGAGTAAAGAATAGGGCTTGAGATCCCACAGACAACTCAGCTTTGAACAAAAGGGTTTTGTCATCCAATGGTACAAGAAGGCGTTAGGATACATCAGACGTGGTTGTTGAAAACAGAGAAGGGCTGGGCACTGTGGCTCATGCCTATAATCCCAGCACTTTGGGAGGCCAAGGTGGGCGGATCACTTGAGGCCAGGAGTTCGAGACCAGCCTGGCCAACATGGTGAAACCCTGTCTCTACTAAAAATACAAAAATTAGCCAGGTATGGTGGTGCATGCCTGTAATCCCAGCTATTTGGGAGGCTGAGACAGGAGAATTGCTTGAACCCAGGAGGTGGAGGTTGCAGTGAGCCACGATCGTGCCACTGCACTCCAGCCTGGGCAATAGAGCGAGACCCTGTCTCAAAAAGAAAGAAAGAAAGAAAGAACACAGAGAAATGTAGTTGAGGGAGTTTGGGTTTGGGTTTGGGTTTGGCAGAAGCAAGTTTTTGTTTTTTTTTTTTTTTTTTTTTAGAGAGTCTCACTCTGTTACCCAGGCTGGAGTGCAGTGGAACAATCTCGGCTTGCTGCAGCCTCTGCCTCCCGGGTTCAAACAATTCTCGTGCCTCAGCCTCCTGAGTAGCTGGGATTACAGGCACGTACCACCACACCAGGCTAATTTTTGTATTTTTTGTAGAGATGGGGTTTCACCATGTTGGCCAGGCTGGTCTCAAACTCCTGACCTCAGGTGATCCACCTATCTTGGCCACCCAGAGTGCTGGGATTACAGGTGTGAGCCAGTGCACCTGGCCTAACATTGATATCTATTGATGAGAAGAAGCCAGGTGTTGGGGTGATAGCATATAGCACATGAATTGAATAAAACAATGTTTAAGACAATGTTTGCAACATAATAGGCAGTGAATACATGTTAATGGAAGGTGGATTTGTGATTCAGAACCTCTAGACTACCTGGCTGAGTCTTTTAAAATGTGAGTAATATCGTATGTGATATTACTTGTCCCAGATCAGTTGTTTAAAACTGATCTGGTTCAGTAGACTATGGTGATGATAGCAGCTATTTCTTCCCATAAGAGTTATTTCTTGGGGAAGTCACTTATACTGAATTTGACTATCTTTTAAAAATTTATTGAAATATATGTTAAATAATACAATGAGGTTTAATGCTCTCAGAGTAGCACTGTGTCATCTTCTATCATGGGGGCCTTTGTTGGCTTTAGGAGGCTTATGTTTCATAATAGTTTCCCAGTGGACTCTTTGTTACCTGTAATGAGTGTGACAGTTATGCCGTGACCAGGTTTTATGTGGAATACAATTTTGAGAAAGCTCTGTCTAGGCAGAGGAGCTTATTTGAACCTCTTACTACATTTGGGTTTCAGGCTTTTGAGTTCTTCTGAAATAATAGCCCTTTGAAGGTAGCTATTGCTATGACTTCATTAAATTCTAATGCCTCTGGTTTCCTCCTCCAGGTTTCTGCATATGAAGTGTGTAAAATAGATTGCTTGATCTAAAACAGAAAAACAGCGGTAACTGTTTTGCTGAGTTCCCAGACCCTTCCCAAGATGGAACCAATAACATTCACGGCAAGGAAACATCCGCTTCCTAACGAGGTCTCGGTGGACTTTGGCCTGCAGCTGGTGGGCTCCCTGCCTGTGCATTCCCTGACCACCATGCCCATGCTGCCCTGGGTTGTGGCCGAGGTGCGAAGACTCAGCAGGCAGTCCTCCAGAAAGGAACCTGTAACCAAGCAAGTCCGACTTTGCGTTTCTCCCTCTGGACTGAGATGTGAACCTGAGCCAGGGAGAAGTCAACAGTGGGATCCCCTGATCTGTTCCAGCATCTTTGAGTGCAAGCCTCAGCATGTTCACAAACTGATTCACAACAGTCATGACCCAAGTTACTTTGCTTGTCTGATTAAGGAAGACACCGTCCATCGGCAGAGTATCTGCCATGTGTTCAAAGCCGACGATCAAACAAAAGTAAGTGAGATGGAGATCCAAAAGACTAAAGTGTGGCTGGCTGGTTTTTAATTGTATAGGGGTCAGAAAATTTATTTTAAGTATGCTGAAATGAATAAGGGATTAGTCCTGCAGTTATAAATTGATTACTTAGCTGAATTTTTTGTTTATGGTGCTAGTTTATAGTTTCGAAGCACATTTGAAAACAGATATGAGAAATTGTCAGTTTTTGAGTTCAAAAATTCAAGAGAAATCAGTCTAAAACTACTAATTAAGAGCAGAAGTGTTAAGATGTACATTATTCCAGACGAATGTTCTAAAGCCGTGCTTCTCAAACTGAAATGTGCTCATAAGTCACCTGGGGATCTTGTTAAAATGTGAATCTTGATTCAGTGGGTCTGGGTGGACCCCAAGACTACATCTGTAACAAGCTGCCAAGAGGTGCTCATTCTGCCTTTTGCAGGTTGCACTTTGAGTGGCAAAGTTCTAAATCTCCACATTTGCAATCCTATTACGAAAAATATAGTTATTTGCAGGCCGCAATGGCTCACGCCTGTAATCCCAGTACTTTGGGAGGCCGAGGTGGGCAGATCACGAGATCAGGTGATCGAGACCATCCTGGCTAACACGGTGAAACCCCGTTTCTACTGAAAATACAAAAAATTAGCCGGGCGCAGTGGTGGGCGCCTGTAGTCCCAGCTACTCAGGAGGCTGAGGCAGGAGAATGGCGTGAACCTGGGAGGCGGAGCTTGCAGTGAGCCGAGATCGCTGCCCCTGCACTCCAGTCTGGGCGACAGAGTGAGATGCTGTCTCAAAAAAAAAAAAAAAAAAGAAAAGAAAAATATAGTTATTCGTAAACTGTGTAAAAATGCTACTGGCCAGTTTCCCGAGGCATAATGTTCACTCAGGCAAAGGTCGTTGATAAGAACGGTGGATATGTATCTAAGTTTTGATGCTATTAGGGGTTCTTTGTGTTTTTCTCTTTCACAAACCTCAGGTCAAATCTGATTAGCTTGTTATTAGCCCATGATGTGGTTGAAAAAAAATATGAGACATGGTAAAAGCTCTGCTCTTTTCTTGTTCATTTGTGCTTGCTTTGTTATTAGCATTCGTTGTAGTTCTGGGCAGGACTCATTTGAATATGCTTGTCCATTTTATGAGAATTAGCTGAGATAAAATTGAAAATACAATGCAAATAGCCACTTTCTCAGTTGAGCTCAGGGCTCCACGGCTAACCCCATGGACTGTGGAGTCTTACCGTTGTTTTGGGTGCCAAGCAAGGCAAGTCACATATGACTCAAGCTTTCTGCCACATGTACAGGGTGAGGATGCAAGTGTCAATTCACATGTCAACTGTCAGTGAAGCCTTGAAAGGTTCTCATATTTTCAAGTTTGAAATCTGAATAGAAATGCTGAAGTTTTCTCTCTGCGCTCCATTACGTTATTTTATATATTCTCTAGGGTGTAAGAAACTTATTTAGAAATTAATGTTCTTGGTACCAAGTAGATGCCCTTTTGCTTGTTCATTTGTTGGTTCTTCTAGTCATTCAGAATTGCTGTTGCAGGTGCTGTTGGAGATGATATTAGCAGAGGCTTGTAGGCAGGCAGGAGCATTAGTGGGGAATAGGACCACATGATCCATGGATAGAACATAACAGAAGGACTGAGAAGAGAGCCTAACACACACCCAAAGTGTAGAGAAGGCTTTGTGAAATAAAGGCTAATATGGAGCTCAAAACCACCATTTCACTCACAGAATCAAACTCTCATACTATAAATCATTTCATGTTATTGTCCATGCATCCATCTCAAGTGGGCGTGACAGCATTAGGCTTGGTGATTCAGAGGGGCTAACTTCCTGTATTCTAATCCTACTTCTGCACCCATAAACTGGGTGGCCTCAGGCAATTGAGTCTGTTTTCTTATCTGTTAAATGGGAATAATCACAGTATTTATCCAGTAGAGTTGCTGGAAAGACTAAATGAAGTAGCACTGGACCTCAAACTTAGTAAGCATTTATAACCATAAAAACATTGTCATTCAAGAAGATTTTACTAGAGGCAGATTGTATGCTAATTTCATTTCACGTCTTAGGTAAAAAGAAACAGGATACCTAGATGAGTATCTTCAGCTTTCAAAGATGAGATTCTGGTCATCTTTGAGGAACATTTTAAAAATGACATGTATAACTTAATGGCTCCTATTATTTGGACAAATTCCAGAATGAAAATGAGAGGACTGAACAGCCTGTACCGCAGTCCAGCTCTATATAGTATTTGGACTGAGTTTCCTTGGGGAGTTTTTGCATGGAATCATTGTTCAGCACTTTACACATTTGACTTTTTCCCAAAATCTTTTATAGCCATCTGAGAACAGGCTTCTGGCCAGTCATTTGGATGCCTGACAAGAGAAAGAGATTTATAACCAAATTCTGTAATTGGGACTTCCAGTCTTTCCCCAAGTAGAGAATTGGACTTACTCTATATTCTAAAAAACCATGGTTGAAATATGAATTAGTTCTTAAGTTATTTTTGGCTTGCATACCATTTTTGCAAACACAAATTGTCATTACTCTGTTCATTTTATAAAAGAATAATTTGTAGCATAGGTATGTACCTCAATCAGTGATTTTGTTGTTGGAAACAAAACAGTAAATCACACTGGCCATGATGCTAACAGCATGATAGATTTCCTGTTCTTGGAACACCACTGTCACTGTATCTCATAGCGAAGGATTATCTGCTGTAGGAGCATTCTCTTGACTACTTACAACATTTGCTAGGTGAAATAATTCTCCAGGTTAAGGCCTTTTCTAAAGAGATGAGGTCAGCACCAACTGCATTTGCCAGAGAAGACATATGCATTTACTGCCAGCATCATAAACACAAAACTATAGTCTGCGAGGAAACCCTTTGATCAGCATCTAATTAATTCACTGGGTCATGTCTCGGGAGAAGAGGCACGTGAAGGAATAATTGTATAAGCATGCCATGAGATTGTGTTTTCTATTGTATGTTCCATAGAATATGAGGAAACTTCAAAACATGTTGTGGAAAAATGGAATTAAAAAGTAAAAAACATATATACACATGAGCTTTATTTCTCAACATACACTTTATCAAGTTCAAGACACTTTTGTAAGCAATGTTAACAGCCATTGAGTCCATCTCTAAAGAACTGAGGGTCCTGGGAATTTAACCATGTTTATGCAGTCTTTTTTACATTATTAATTGAAGAAAAATGGTGCTCTTTAAAGATTTTTTAAAATTGAGAAGTAAAAAGAAGTCAGAAGGAGTCAAATTAGGCCTGTAAGGTGGATGCCTCATGATTTCCCATGGAAACTCTTGCAGAATTGCTCCTGTTTGATGAGAGGAATGAGCAGGAACATTGTCATGGTGGAGAAGGACTCTGGTGAAGCTTTCCCAGGCCTTTTTCTGCTAAAGCTTTGGCTAACTTTCTCAGAACATTCTCTTGACAAACAGATGTTATCGTTCTTTGGCCCTCCAGAAAGTCAACAAACAAAATGTCTATTTTGTTTGCCACCATTTGCCCTTGACCAGTCCACTTTTGCTTTGACTGGACCACTTCTGCCCTTGGTAGCCATTGCTTGAATTTGGCTTGATCTTTAGGATTGTGCTAGTAAAACCATGTTTCATCACCTGTTACAGTTCTTTGAGGAAATGCTTCAGGATCTTGATCCCACCAGTTAAAAATTTCCCTTGAAAGCTCTGCTCTCACTGGCAGCTGATCTGGGAGCAATGGTTTTGGCACCATCTAGTAAAAAGTTTGCTCAGTGTTAATTTTTCAGCCAGGACTGTGTAAGCTGAACCAGCAGAGATGTCTGTGATATTGACTATTGGTTTGTTTTATTAATTGTTGGTCGTATTCAGTGAGGGCATGAACAAGATGAATATTTTCCTCAAAAAATTATCTGGATGGTCTGCTGCTGCAGGCTGCCTCTTCAATGTTGTCTCATCTCTTCTTCTTCTTTTTTTTTCTTTTCTTTTTTCTTGAGACTCAGTCTTGTTCTGTAGCCCGGGCTGGAGTGCAGTGGTGCGATCTCGACTCACTGCAACCTCTGCCTCCTGGGCTCAAGCGATTCTCCTGCCTCAGCCTCCCAAGTAGCTGGGATTACAGGTACACACTATCATGCCCTGCTAATTTTTGTACTTTTAGTAGAGATGGGGTTTCACCATGTTGGCCAGGCTGGTCTCAAACTCCTAACCTCAAGTAATCTGCCTGCCTTGACCTCCTGAAGTGCTGGGATTATAGGCATGAACCACCGCGCCTGGCCTCGTCCTTTCTTAAAATGAGTTATCCTTTTGTAAACTGCTGATTTCTTTGGGCATTGTGCCTATAAACTTTTTGTAAAACATCAGTGATTTCGCCATTCTTCCACCCAAACTTCACCATAAGTTTGATGTTTTTCTTGCTTCAATTTTAGCAGGATTCATGTTTCTCTGATAGGGGGTCTTTTCAAACTGATGTCTTCTCCTTCTTAGAGCCTCAGCCTAGATCCTGTTCAGACATGCTACAACAAATTAGTACAAGTTTATTTGTTGCAAAAAAAAAAAAAGGAAATCCATGCATAGTTTTTAAATAATATGCATGTTTCATGAACTTTTTGAAGACGCCTTGTATACTTAAGCTGTTCCACGTGGAAAAACTTCCGTGATCAAATGCAGTAAGGCAGCATCTCAAACATTTTGTTCTAAGGATTTCTTTTCACTCTTCAAAGTTGTTAAGGATCCGAAAGACCATCAGTTTATTTGGGTTGTATCTACTAATACGTACTCTGTTAGAAATTAAAACTCAGATATTGTAAAGATATTAATTTGTTAAAAAAATGAAAGTAATAAACATCTACATGTTAACATAGATATTTTGTGAATAACTATGTCTTCCAAAAAATATTTAGTAGTAAGTGTTTTACATTTTTTTCCAATCTCCTTAATGCCTGTATTCATAGAAGATAACTGGATTCTCATAGCTGATTCTCTATTCATTCTGTTGTGATGGAT